AGACATTTTTTAGGCCTAGTCATATATGATTTTGTAGAAAATTTCAATCGCTATCTTTTGAGAATAAAAAGAGTTTTAAATACAGGGAGAGTAGAAGAGAAATCTTAAAAATACTGAGAGGCTCATTATTCCTGGGACACCCGTTATTATACGTAATACAATTCTTTCGGGAGATTTTAACGCAACAGTAGCAAAATGGAACAGTCCTAAAACGGATAAAAGAGGTCAGGAAATCATGAAATGGAGTGATGAAAATTTATTAACGTACATACCATGCATTATAAACTCATCTAAACGTTCCTGAAGAAACATCGATTTGACTTTTACTAACTTTCCTGGGGTGAAAGGCGAAACATTGACTTATGGAACCAATGATCATTGGCCATTAGTTTACAAATCTGAGCACATCAATTTTCAAGTTACCACAAAATTCTCAATCACAAAATGGAAGTTTTTTGAGACAATGCTCTGTCTTCTACAGGATTTTTGGAGTAAACAAATAGAATATATGGATACAATTCAATGGTATAAAGAGTATATACGATTTTTAGTAGCTCTAAAAAATCGATTGACGAATTGGTATGAGAAAGAAAAGTGGAAACCTGCACTTCCCTTATATATAAGAGAGAAATTGAAACAGGTAAAGGAGATAAGAAACCGATACTATAGAATCAGACAAGAAACGGATAGAGTTCTTTTAAGAAAAGGAAGTAGAGAAGTAAAAATTGAGATAAATAAATATAGAGCTAATAGGTGAAAAGAATTCTTAACAAATATTCAAAGTAACCATGGTAAATCTGATAAAACGTTTTGGAAACATTTATCGAGAATCTATAGACCTCAATCATTGCCATTCACTAAACTTGCAGTTGGATCACAAGTGATCACCTCGAAGAAAGAAATAACGGATGAACTTTTTAAATACTATTCAAACCTTTTTACATCGTCAGAAATTGATTACTTAGATGCAACTGATATACAAATTGATAAAGAATATAAAGAAATATTAGATCAACTGTACTCATGTGATACTACAGTGAACACCACAGATGTGTATGAACTAAAGAAGATGATTCGAACATTAAAACCTAAAAAATCAACGGGATTTGACGAAATCTCCAATTTTATGATAAAACGTCTCCCACCATCATATCTCGAATGCTTGAGTAAATGTTTCAACGATTGGATGAAAAGAAACATATTCCTAAAAGAATGGAAAATCGCAAAGATAGTAACTCTGAATAAATTGAAAGCGGGTATTCCCGAGAGCGACCAAACGCGCCCCATTTCCTTGCTTTCGACACACTCAAAAATATTCGAAAAGATATTATTGAACCGAATTAAATACTGGACAGATGAAAATCATATAATATCAGCAGAACAATCCGGCTTCAGGAAAGGTTGTCTACTACAGACGCGAGTATTGTCAATTTTCCAAGAGATAAAAAATAATTTAGCAGCCAATGTATCAACACTTGGAATATATATAGACTATAGAAAAACAAACGATATGGTTTGGCATGTCGGGCTCATAGTGAAACTATCCAGAATGAAAATGCCTTCTGAATTATTAAAGCTCATACTAAGTTTGTTAAAAAATAGACAGGCTTACTTGACTTTTTGGTGAACATAAATCAGATCCCTTCGAGATAAACGTGGGTTTACCTCAAGGAAGTGCTCTTAGTCCCTTTATATTCATAATCTACCATGCTGATATCATCTCCTGCTTGGGAGCATTCTCAACTCACATCTTTGTAGATGACTTGAGCGTTCTAATAGTACCACCAGTTGATAAAGATTTGAAAAAAATGATGGAATTTATTAATAGGAAAGGCACGCAGGTGTGCCAGAACTTGTTGGAATATTCGCGTAAATGGAAACAGCCGATAAATGTTTCCAAAACGGTTGTTCAGCTTTTCCATAACCAAGTAGTTAGACCAAATGTAGAGATATATATGGGCGAGAAGTTACTAGAAATTGTTCAGTCATTTAAATATTTGGGCTTCCAATAGACAGATAAGCTTTCCCTAGCTCCAACAGCAGATCAAGGTATTGAAAAGATTCAGCGATCTTTCATTAAACTAAAATGGTTAAAAAGAAACAAGCATATCACAACGGAAGTACTAAGAACTTGTTTTTTCTCCTATAGTTTACCATTCTTTGCATGGTTATTTCCTTTCTTCCCGATGCTTCCAAATACCCAACAAGAAGCACTAAAACGTAAATTTAGAGTAGGAATAAGAATCATACATCGATGTCCATACATTTCTGTCACAGATCTTTTCGCATCAGTTAAAGAACGTAGTTTGGAAACATATGTAACAGCTTATCTGAAAAAAAGACTTCAAAAAATCCACAAATCTGATCTAGGAGAATCGCTTTTCATCAATGATATATTTTATTGGGACGCATTTACAATCAAGGATACAAGAAAAGAAACGAAGTCAAATGAATTATATATTGGTCATTTCTTCCGACTGAAGAGGATGAAGAAGATGATCGCAAATCATGAGTCATTTTTAATTCGTTGGATTCAGTTCATAGAGAATTACATTAGCTAAAATAGGAGTTGTTACTTATCCCTCTTATACTTCGCACGGGATGGTCTCTATCATAGTTCCTTTGTATTATTTAAAAAGGTAACTCGAAACACATTATTATAAAGTTCATTAGTTCCTTATTATTTCGCTGCTTGCTCATTCCATGAGTCTTCCTCCTCCACTCCTTTTTTTGTTTTCTTTTTTTCTTCCTTTTTTCTTTTTGTTGTTAACATTAGTGCATAATGCGTAGTGTGTAGTGTGTAGTATGTAGTGTTGTAAGCGTCTTTGGACGTAACAAAATAAAAGCATATTCAAAAAAAAAAAAAAAAAAAACATGGAAGTGTCCCTGTAAGACTAAAAAATTATCATATCTCAGATGATCCTCAACTCATTCAAGTAGAGAAATCATGATTTCCTTTAAAAGAGCCTTTCCTGAAAAAAACGATTCTTTCAAAAGCTTTCAAAAACTCAATGGTGCCATTTGATTCCTGCACTCCGAAAGCCTCCGATTGAACTTTGTAGAATATCGCCCTTTCCTCAAATAGTCTTCTTTCACGAAGCTCCAAATGTCGCAAGTTTCGAGGATTGATTCATCGATTCAACTTTCACATCTTAAATACTTTTTCTCAATCCTTATAATTGTTACGTTTGCCCTTGACACGTACACACATATATACAGCTCAATTTTCTTTCATATAATCCTCTCTATAAACAAGAAAAAACCGTAATTGACTGAATAATCATCTTAAAACCACTCCGCTGACCGAAAACTCAGGATGAAAAGAGACCTGGCCAAGTTTCCAGGAGTCGGGAACTCAATGAGAATTGGGAACTCAAAGAGTGTGGGTGTAGGTAAGGGTGGGGAGGTCCTCAAGTCCTATTTTTTCGAAAAAATAGGACTTGAGGACCCTCCCACCCCTACCTACACCCACACCCACACTCTTTGAGTTCCCAATTCCCATTGAGTTCCCATTGAGTTCCCGACTCCTGGGAACTTGGCCACTGCTGGATCAATGTAGACCACATCCTCCTAAAACCTGACTTGACATAACCGGATCCTCCTGACATCTGATTGGATGAAATCAGCCGCCATAAAATCTGATTATATGAAACCAGAGCCTCCTGAAACATGTTTGGATGAAAATAGGCCCTCCTCAAACGTAATTGAAGAAAAAACAGACCCCTCTAAAACCTAATTGCACGAAAATAGATCCTCCTGAGACGTGATTGGACGACAATAGACTCTTCTGAAACGTGATTGGACGAGACTAGATCCTCCTGAAACCTGACTGAACGAAACTAGATGCTCCTGAAACCTGGTTGTTGAGTTTGCAACATACTACTGTATGCAATGTTTTTTTGATCTTGTGCGGACACACAAGCAAGCAAGCAAGCAAACAATTTATGTTTGTAAGACTCTTCTCTACGAGAAAGAGAATAAAAGATCATTTTATTAGTCTTTCTTTTTTTTGTTTTTTCGTAATTTTCTTTTCATAAACCTAAATATTGTATTTGTAGATCATCATCATCATCATCATGATGCCTAAATCTAAATGATCACAACGTATAACAATATCAAAATCATCAAAAAAATTAAAAAAAAAATCGTGGTCTTGAATTAAAACAAGAATTAGTTAAAAAAATTCATTCACGTCTTGATCAATGTTCACATTTATTTGTTTTTCATCTTGATTAATGAATGTACAGAAAAATTACAAACAGTTCGTGCACATTTTCTACCATCTGAATCATCATATTTTTTCTTTGGAAAAAATCGTGTTATGCAACTTGCTTTAGGACGAACATCAGCAACTGAATATTTACCATCATTATCAAAAATATCTCCTTATCTTGTTGGAAAAGTTGATTTAATGTTAACTAATAGATCACCTCAAGAAGTTTTAGAATATTTTAATCAATTAGAAATGGAAGATTATGCAAGAGCAGAAAAACATGTTAAAGAAACTGTTATTATTGATGATGGACCATTAGATGGTTTTCAACATACAATGGAACCTTTATTAAGATCTTTAGGTTTAATAACAACTTTAAAAAAAGGTATTATTCATTTACTTAAACCATTTACTATTTGTTCAAAAGGTGATGTTTTAACACTTGAACAAGCTAAATTATTAAAATTATTTCAACGTCCTTTAGCACATTTTAAAATAAAAGTTAAAGCTCATTGGAATAAACAAAATGAACAAGTTCAAGTTTTTGATTTACATGATGAAGATGAAGATGATGATAAACAACAAGATGATGAAAATTAATTTTTTCTTTTGTTTTTATTTATTTGTTATTTCGAACGGATTTATTAAAATCTTTTACTTAAAACTATCATAATGATGGTTTTCTACTGTTTTGAAATATTCATTCTTTTAATTATCAATCATTTATTTTTAAACAAGTTTATAAACAAAACTTTACATAAAGAGAGATTATTTAAAACGAACAAAAAATCTTAGACATATTCAGAACAAGATAAAACTTTCATCAGCAAACTAATACATTTAAAATATGAGCTACCCATAACATGTACATCGATCGACATGTTCAACTTTTTTAAGGTGTTTATGATGCATTGAATCTATTTGTAGTTTAGAATTTCAGTAGAATTTTTATCTCATTTTATATCATTGTTGGATGGAACTCGTCGAATTACAGAAGAATACGGATGTTTCCGACATGAAAAAGAAATTTTGAGAAACGATCCACGAGATTATTAGTTTTAAATACATGGACAAGTTGAGCCTAAGTTTTTACGTTCGAAAAATTCTTCGTTTACATTTGAAAGGTAACTTTTGTGTAATTCGATCGACGAGCTTCAAACAATAACCAAGATGTCAAATGAAAAAAAAATCATACTAAAATTCTGGAATTCGAATATTTCGGTCGATGCATATCACTGACGGCTTTGATTTAAAAGTTTTTAGTTTAGTTATAAAAACTTTAATTTATCTTAAATATATTTTATCTTTTTAATTTATAATACAATACGTTTGATGATAGGAAAATAATTTAGTTATATAAAACATATGTTTTATATTTATATGATAAAAAATTATTCAATAAAAATTATTTGTAAACAATTATTGAAACTTTTTATAAGTATTAATTAACTGGATTTTATTTCTTGTCAAGTTTTTCTTTTCGAATACGACAAAATTTCTATCAAATACGAGCGTGAAGCTGAATTCATCAAGATTTTAACAATGAATTCTATTTAGTTCATACTACTTCAATATTAATTATTTATATCAATAGAAGAATAATTCAAATTCTATTCGGATTATCGTTGTGTTATGAGAGCTTGATCGTTCAGATTACACGTCTCAGTACAATGACAGATTGAAATAGCGCAGCTACTCAATGAATTGATGAACAATAACAGATTAGTTCTCAAGTCGCGTGGAACCTGGTCAATTATGACCGTTTCACGAATGTAATCAACACAAAGTAATACAAAAAACCTTTTTTATCGATAAGAATTTATTTTGTGAAGCATGATTGGATCATCAATACATAAATTCGAATTGAGTATATGATATGATTCTGTTTCCTAACCTCGGTATTCCTTTTCTCTATTTGACTAGGGGAAAGAAGTAACCCGTTACGTTTTCTCGGTAACTCTTAAAAAGACAAATTATGATTTCTATCCGATTAAATATTATCAAACTATCATTAAATAAAGTTACCAGGTAACGAGTAACTCTTCAATTGACAAAATAATTTATTAGTCATTTTCAGTCGAATGACAGTCATAATTCGTCTTTTTAAGAAGTTACCTAGAAAAATTAACTGGTAACTTCTCCCGTTACCAGTTACCCGATAATGAGTAACGGATAATGGCCGTTGTGACCAGCTATTTTTTTGATCACGGTCACATCATAGTCAACGGAGTTCGATCATGGGTTACAGGCCGTGACCGTGAGTCATGGTCATTTTTTCGAGTTTGTTGCGACCGATGATCTTCTTTCGTAAACTATGTGTATTGTCTATGAATTTGTAGCTATCACTAGAAATATAGGAATTATTTTATGGAAATATGCAACAAATATTTTTTCTTTATATCTATATAAACAGTTATATTTATCAACAGTTACATATAAATAGTAATATAAATGAATAAGTAATACTATTGTTGATGTTCTTGCTTTTTTAATCTTTTAATATAAACTTTTTCTATTTTTAGTTTTTTTTCTTTAATAATTTTGTTCATTCTTTAAATTGTTGAATTTTCGATCATTATGTATGTCCGACCATTATCAGAACTTGGAGATGTAATACAATGATGGATATTGATAGTAAATTTTTCAATCATAATAATTGTAAATATTTATCATATGAAGGATAATCGTAATATATTATAATATTGTTGTTGTTATAATGACTAAATGCATAATTTTGTATGTATTAGTTCCTCTAAATAGAGAACAATGTTGATAAACACCATGTACTATAGTTGCATAATAAACAATTAAGTATATAAATAAATAAATAACATCTAAGTTTTTTTCATTTATGAGACATGGATTATTATTTTATGAAATATGCAATATTAAAAGATTAAAAAAAAAAAGAAAAAATTATCTCAAAGATTAAAAAAGCAAGAACATCAACAAATACTATCACTTATTCATTTATATTACTATTTATATGTAACTGTTGATAAATATAACTGTTTATATAGATATAAAGAAAAATAAATCAATAGTTGATTTGTTTTCGATACAATAAAGAAAAAAACATTTGTTGCATATTTCCATAAAATAATTCATATATTTCTAGTGATAGCTACAAATTCATATCTCATAAATAAATAAAAAACTTAGATGTTATTTATTTATTTATATTCTTAATTGAAGATGAGATATGCCGAGTCTATTGTTCAAGGTAATGCGAACATGTTGCAGTGAAAAGAAAAAGCAAAAATTTTTAATATTGAATAACAATAGAGTAAATCCGTGGGGTTTCTACCACTCTTGTGGAAAAAGCTTTTTTTTCTCGATTTTGATATTCTACTTAGACGTATCTTCGTCGAAAACGGTCAGAGGTAACAAAAGAAACATTTAATGATATATAAAGTTTGGAGATTCAGATCATTTTGTAGGAACATCTCAATGTATATATGCATTGCACTTCTATCACATTGCACAATGATGAAATTTTTAGCGTTTGTAGAGCTTTTAATTCTAAGCATTTGGATAAAAAAAGTTTTCCGAAAAGCTTTTGCTTTGACGGAGATAGACTTAAAACACTATACGTAATTGAAGGAACTATCAAAAAACAGTTTGTGAAAATTGCGCAAAAAATCGTTTTTTGGTTTTTCACTACTTCGTATTTTGAATATATTTCCTTCAAAACAAAAGCTTTTCGGAAAACTTTTTTTATCAAAATGCTTAGAATTAAAAGCTCTACAAACGCTAAAAATTTCATCATTGTTCAATGTGATAGAAGTACAATGCATATATACATTGAGATGTTCCTACAAAATGATCTGAATCTCCAAACTTTATATATCATTAAATGTTTCTTTTGTTACCTCTGACCGTTTTCGACGAAGATACGTCTAACTAGAATATCAAAATCGAGAAAAAAAAGCTTTTTCCACAAGAGTGGTAGAAACCCCACAGATTCACCCAATATGTATCTCATCATTTCAGTATCTGTGAACAACCGTGACCAACTTCTAGTGACAATGACGAACTTTCTAAAAAAAAAAAGACACGGTCATGGCCATGATCATGAACGTGACCGTGACAGCCGTGAGCCACGGTACTCACGCCAGACACTAGTAATAGAACAGTTACGTGGCAACGGAAACAGTTAGTAATGGTCAATTCCCACTTCTATATCTAACCAAGACGTCTGTGTTGGTATTCGATGGATATTGTTGGATGATCCATGTTTGATATGTGATTAGTTGGTGCTCACATATTCATAATTATTAAATCAAAAAAAAAGAAAGTATTCATAATCAAATAAAAATAATCGTGATAATCTTTGATCATCTATGAAATGAAATGTAAATATGAATTTTTTTTTTAAATCAAATCAAATCAACGAATAATCTAGTTTAGTCTTTTGTATTTCTACAGAATAAAGAAAATATTTGGATTTGAATGAATACAGAATTTCATATCAATAGATATCGCTTGTTTTCAATTGAAATAAAAAAGGAAGAGAATTTTAGTGGATATTTGAAAAACATTTTATTGGTACAGTTGAAATGACCACTGAAAACAAATTACTTCTTATTTATTTCGTTTAGTTAAAATTAAAATTAAAATTAAAATATCTCTATCTTGATCAATACTAATAATTTATTGATTTTGTTTTATTGCTGATTGGTTCTTGATTTTAATGTTCATATAAATTTTTAGATTTGATTTTATGAATTCTGATTTATATTGATCTATTTGTAGATTTCAATAAAATAGTCTTTTTGTTTTCTATCAATTGAAAACATAAATGAATAATTCATCATCGATGAATTCAGAGACAAATATTGAAAAACCAAATAGTTCTAGAACTCAACCAGTAATTAATCGTTATTTTCATTAGTAATTTATTTATTTTAAAAAAAAACAATATTCATTTAGATACGTGAAGCAAAGTCTAAAGGTAATATTACTAGACAATTAACATCATATATTGATAATGCGTCGTCATCAAGTATTGATAATCCGTCGTCATCAAGTATTGAAATGAATGATAATAGTCACCAAAATATTATGGTATCATCTCAATCAACAGCACGTGATGCTGTGAGTATTTTGTTTTTCTTTTTCTTGAAATAATCGGAGAGAACAAGCAACTGAGTTTCCATTGAATTTAATACCAGCGATATCCTTTTTGATTCATAAAAAAGATATTTATATTCGATATAACATTGATTTACATAGATAATATCAACTATTGAATTTGTACAAACAAAGATTTTTTGTTTTTCAAAAAAAGGAGAAAGAACAGAATATTAGAATTTCTAACAAACTAATATTAACCTATTTCATTTGACGTTGGGAATATGATTTATGACTTAATTAATTCTTCGTCTTTTTTTCTTGTTTTAAACTCTCTCTTGATACATTAGATAAGAAATTTTATGAAATTGCTTTGTCAAAATATAGAAGAAGAAAGTCATAAAATTAGTTGCCGCATTCACCATTCTAGAGTTTCTATTTCCTCTACTCATTTCTATGATAATTTTAATGAGAAATCGAATGATTGTAGAGTGTGTCAGAATCGTTGAAAAAATGATGAAAAGATGATTGGTCCATATTGAGTAAAGAGGTCGAGTTAACTTTCTCATGTCTACAATAGACAATGAGTTGATACATAATCAACCATGATGAATGAGATAATTTGACGAATAAATTACAAAGCATAAAAGAATAGAACTATTATGTCCTTCTATGAGAAAGAGACGTACTTTATACATTTCGATAGAGAGAAAGAAAATATCTTCATTTGTATATTCTATACATCTTTTTTTTCTCTACTTAACAGATAGAAAAATTTTTGAGCTCAATCATAAATTTGTCTCAGATAATAAATATAATTAAAATAAAAACATGTGCAAATCAAACAAAAAATCGCACGTAAGTGTTCATAAATACAATGTTTGAAAAGATTTTTAGTATATCCTTGATTAAAAACATAGATGCTATTTTATTGAAAACATTTGTTTTCAATGAGAATCAGTTCTTAATGATTGATTTTGTTTTTTTTTCTCGTAGGAAAGTTGGTCATCAACGTCACCACCTCACGCACCAGCACCACCACCATTCGTTGCCAACTTATCATCAATCAATCCTGTCAATCCTTTAGCAGATATGCTTCGGAAACAAGAAGAAATACAACGTAAACAAGAAGAAATACAACGTAAACAAGAACAACTTCAACATGAAGAAGAAGAAGTTAAACAAGAAATTGAAAAATATTTGTCAAGTAGAATATTTTCAAGATGTTCAATAAATCAAAATATGTTGAACTGTTTGATTTCAGATCATTCCAAAAATTGTTTCATCGGTATTTCGATCAATAGTGAGATGTGTAATGAACGAGTTTATATTAAAGTATGTCAAAGATTTTATTGATCTGACAATATTTTCAATTGTCATTTAATACTTTCTTTTTAATCTAGTTATTCGACAAATTAGCTCCAATGACATGTGGTAAGAAGAAAGTGTTATTTTATTCATCTTATTTCTACAATTTTTGAATTTTCAAAATCAATGAATAAGAGAAAGCTTTTGATTTCATTTATTTGTTTATTTTGATAGATGAATTTCGAGCAAACTGCAGCAATCGATATGAATATAACTATGAAGAAAGTCAATTCAACTATTTAGTGCCCAACAAGTTTATCAAAGGTAGATACATTATCTAAAATCAACAATAACAAAAAAAAAAAAAAAAAAAAAAAAAAAACAATAAATTAATTCATTCTGCATTCATTTCTGTTTCCTAGGTGGTCAAATCGTCGTTTACACTCCTGAAGGCAAACAGTAAACAAATAATTACATTTTAATTTCATTTAATCATAGTGTTTTGTTTGTTTTCTAATTTGCAGATTACCAGATAAGATCGGTCCAAAGGAAACATCTAAAATGATTCATGATCGAAAAGGATTGATCAGTATGAACCCAACAAAAAGTGTATATGAATTTATTATAACATTAGGTAATAATATATGATGATTTGATCAGAATATATATGGGTAAATCCATGAAGTGTCTACTACAAAATCCACAACTATCTTTAAATCGCATGAAACTTTCAGCATTTGTAGACCACAATTTATCTAAGACTTTCTGCAATTGTAGTTTTTTAAATTTCATTAATAGTATATAGATATAGGGGATGATATTTTATATGGTTTTTGTAGTTTGTACAGAAAAATTTCGATTTTTTCGAAAAACTGAATCCATTGATTTAAACTGAAATTCAATGAGTTATATAAACATATTATATATCATTTGGTAGTTATTGATCTTGAATATATTTCGACTATAACAGATAGTGGCTTT